CAATTAGGGAACCCTCTCAATCAATGCTTAAAGTCGAGGTCGAGGGCCCAGTTCACATACACAATGTACGTTCAAAATAATTTCTTCCATTTTCATGACTCAATTTAAACATACAAAATCATATTCATACACAGTTCGAAGATAAAACACTCAAAATCCGTCAAACACTCAATGAAAGATGATCTTTAAAATAATGCTAAATTTTTCCATGAAACCAAACCAAACAATCATGAATTTCATTATCTTTAAACGTTTTCAAAGTCTAGAAAACACAATAGGAGAGTACATGAAAATACCAATATCCTTACATAAATTTTCAAGCTTTCAGTTTCCAAAGATGAGATTGCTTGTAGATTTGAAGGAGGAGGAAAGTTGCTCAACAACTTGTAGATTTTAGAAGGATTTTTTAAAATTTTAAGAAAAGGAATAGCTTAAGAGTGAGCTCTTTAGTGAAGAAAGGAAATCGAGAAAAGAAGAACAAAGATTACCATGCGAAGTAGTAAAACTTATCAGTCTCCTAGGTTCTGTCTTTTACTCTCTCATGCTCTTTCTCTCTCTAGTTTTTCTCTATCTGGTTTCTCTCTCTTTCTCGGCCAAGTTAAGAAGAAGAAGAAAAATGAAAAAAATGGGAGAGAGGAGAGGAGGAAAAGGGCTTTAAATAGCCAAGAAAAATACATACATGTATGCTAGGTGACAGTCGGGCAGTAGGCAACAGGTGGGGACGTGACACAACGTGCACAGGTGCGTGAACAGGACATACATTATAGCCGCGCTTGACGATAGGGCTAGCTACAAACGTGCACAACGATGGGATGGGCTACAGACGCATGCAATGGGACGCACAACAGGCGTGTGTGATGGGACATGCGCATATAGTGTGCGCGATGGGACATGCCTGTACGGCATGCGCGAGCTCGTGAGCACGCAGGCATGCGAGCGTGCGTATTCGCGTGCATGCTTGCGGGTCTATTTTTTCATTTTGCTTTTAATTTTTTTTTTAATTTTAAAATTTATTTTTGAAAAAATAACTATTTAAAACACGTTTAAAATATTTTAAACACCAAATGAAAAATAAATTAAATTAAAAACAAAGCAAATTACAACATTAAATATTTAAAGGCTTAGGGATGTCACAATTTACATGGTGAGTTTGTACAATTATATGCGTGGATTGGAATCTAGGTAGGCTAGTTCTTATAAGGTTACATGTCATGAAATAACACTATTAATAAAGTGGTTTAGAGATCTAACATTGAGGAGAGAGCATTATGGAGGACAGTTATTGTGAACACATAGTAATTACTCTCATATAAGAGCATTATTTAGACCACAGGTATCAATGAGTTCATCAGTGTCTAAAACTTATAATTAGAGTTGTTTCTTCAACCCTAGAGAATCTTAAAGATCTAGAAGGTTTTACAATGACGTTAAGTCATGAACCTACAATTGTAGTTTTGATAGATAGATGAATGGATTGGGGCATTACTTATGATGATTTATTTTGTAGGATATTTTCCTTGACTATTAATTAAGAGGGAAAATGTGTGATTGTGTGGTTTAGGATAAGTCTAGGTGGACATAAAATATTATGCTCAGATGCAGAGTCTCTAACTAGGATTTGGATAAATGAAATAGGTTATTGGATGTCTTACAGGAGGTTGTCCTATGAGCCATAGGAGGGATAAAATTATTTGGGGGTTAAGTAAAAATGAGTAAGTCACAATGAGTTCATTTAAAAGAGCAATGAGTTAGATAGAGCTTGAGGGTGCATTTTTAGAGGCTACTATGTCGTAATAGAAAACCCAGTTGAATCTTAAGGTCTTTGCTTGGAAAGTTATTAAAATTTAGGGTGCCTAGTTATATACTACCTACATCATTATGATAAGCTTGATATATCAAATGGATGTACTCTATACAAAATAGAGAAAAGGACAATTAATCATCTTTTCCTCCATTTTAAGGTGGCTTAAATGGTATAATGTAGGTGCCTTGCATGATTGGATGTAAGTCAGTCTTACCCAACAATTGTACAACCTACGTTTGAGCCTTAACAATCGTAAGGGGTCTTAAAAATACAGGAAGATACATACAATCTTATTATATGTCATTTTATAGTCTATATAAATTGCTAGAAATTAGGTGGTCTTCATATAGAAAGTCTGTAAAGGAGGTTTATGACCTAGTGAGAGCTAGGTTAGGTTGGTGGTCGAATTCACTATAGAAGGGAATTCATCATCCTTTATTTTAAGGGATAGAATGCGGGCGTCACCAGAGCTAGACAATCTAAATATCAATATTGATGCATCAATATAGAGAATACTAAGGCTAATTAAAGTTGGAAGTTTAAGGGACAACAAAGGGTTAAGATATATGTTGTGTAAAAAAATGGGGTTGATGGACTCGAACTCAATTGAGTTGTTAGCTATGGGTAAAGTAGTTGGTCTATTGGTTTTACATGGTGATAAAGAGCGATTTTTGCTGTGATTATAACATGGATAATGAAATATGAGATTGTTTGAAAGTTGAATATGTTATCTAATAGACAAGAAATAGGAGAGGTAAATTGAAAAACATGTTATTCAAGTATGTGAATCAAGGAATTCGATGGTCAACACAATCATAATGATGCGAGTTAAAAGGGAAGTAGACTTTGTTGCTTGTACTTAAATAAAATACTATTTGGGGGGGGGGGGGGGGTTAAATGTAAGAATTATGAAGATTATTACTATTAAGATATATAATCATTAAGAATTATATGAGCTTTATATTATATATGAGCAAGTTACATGTGATGTAGGTACAAGCCAAAATGAAGCAATCTAATGAAGAGCTACAAAAGATAATATAAAGAAGATTGCAAATATAGTTTGAATATTATGGAGCATTTTATTCTAACTAATATTTTAACAATGGTACATGTTATTGTCTAGGTCATTGGTTGTTTAATGTTGCAAGTTTAGGAACTAATTATCAGGATTTGAGGTGATGAAGGGGCTTATTGACATGCATTGAATGGAAATGGTGGTAAGCAAGATGGGTGGAAAATAACAAAAGTAGTGGGTATCATGTGAAAAGATAATGGCTATTTGTAAGGGCGGTAAATAAGGTGGGCATTCGATGGTGGAATTATTGGTTAAGGAGTTTGTGATAGAGGGCTCCATGTAGAAAAAAAAAAAGTAAGGGTGTATAGAATGATGTGTGATACTTGGTGTGGGAAGGTCACTTGGACTATTGAATTAGTCAGCTTTGAATG